ATTGTCTCTAGGATAGATACAGTTTTTAAAATTTAACAGTACAATTTTTCTAACTAAAAGTATATGTCTTAAAGAAAAGTGAATATAAATGAGCTTATTTGGTACTAGTGAATATAATCTACAAATCTATATTATATCAAAGAAGATGTGCTCATAAAATGTTTCAATTAGAAACCCTATAGAAAGAAACAGATATAAAAATATACAATACTTATTTTAAATTATATTTTCAACAATAGATACTTTAAAAAAATCAGAAACCAGATAAAAGCTATTAGAATATCAGAAATAGTAAAATATGAAACTTGAGAATTTCAATGAATTTGTATTGCTAATACTCCAGTTTAAATTTCTTTATGTGACTTTGTATTACACTGTAGGAAGCATTTAATAAAGATCCATTTTTAGATTGTATAATATGCCCATAAAGCAAGTATCAAGAATTTCCAGCTTCCAATTCAATTCTCATTCAAAAACTGAGATTATTCTCGGTATTTATGAATGAAATACAAATTGCAATTGGACATGTTTCAAAGTCTTCTAAGGTGTGAGGGGAAAAAAAAAACCTTACCATATTTCCAGAGTCCACCTACAGAGGGCTCCTGAAGTCTGCACTTTTTAAAGTAAATATATTCTTTTTCAAACATTTGGTTAGGCTAAAATGTTGTTATTGGGAAATGTATTTATTTTTGAATAAAAGAGAAGTGATTTTAGGAGGATGTTTAGCCACATATTCTTGGAATGTGTCAACAAATATCAGCACATTTCTATGATAGAATTTTTATTTATCATTGAGCCAGAAACATTAAGGATTGCATGCTGAATCCTTGAGGATATCAACAGATATAGAAGGGAGCAAGATACATGTCCATTTTACAAGCAACCAGTGTGAAGATTCACAGTTTGGTATTTTATAAATAACTGGACGATGACTTGGTTTTCTCCACGTTTTTCCTTTACAAGGATATTCTGGTCTTGTTGCTCTGGATTAATTCGCTCCATCTAAATTGAAATATGGTATTACTGTGGACAAGGGATTATCCAGTGGTGGGTTTCAAATTTTTTTACTACCGGTTCTGTGGGCATGGCTTGGTGGGCGTGGCTTGGTGGGCGTGGCAGGGGAAGGTTACTGCAAAATCGCCATTTCCTCCTGATCAGCTGGGACTTGGGAGGCAGAGAATAGATGGGCACGGGGCCGGTCAGAATTTTTACTTCTGATTCTACTACTCAAAATTTCTGCTACCGGCTCTCCAGAACTGGTCAGAACCTGCTGAAACCCACCTCTGGGATTATCATATTGTCTTCTAGAGAACCTTAACTTTTTGTAGGAAGAACCACCATTGTCCAGTAGTAGTGATCAATCCTCCAGAATGGATAGTTGACCCACCTTTCTCACCATTCCTCTGCAATATACTATTGGATTTGGCTGCTACATGATGAGATCCTAAAATAAAACTGCTTAACTCTCCTGGACCCAATGTAACATTTTACAGTTTTGTTGTACAGATTTGCAGGTTTACCTCTGTCAATCTTGTCTGTTTGAATATGGGACATATTCAGTATGGTAATCTTATGGTTTTGCAAGTCTTAGCAAAGAAGTAGTGTAAAATTTATTCATGTTCTCATCAGAAAACTTTAATTTGTTAATACATGTCCAACAGGGATGTGTTATGGGACATATTCTTCTAGTTGCTGATTCATGTTGCCACTGGTGGCCATTTTGTCATCATTGTATGTGAATTGATATTTCCATCTAGATTGGAGTAAAATTTTTGAACATTTTGTTACTGAGCTGTTCTTACCAAAGTATGTATTGGATTCTAGAACTAATTGATGCAATACGATACAATGGCAATAGAGAGTGCATTTGTATGTAAATGCTTGTAATCTAATAGTTATCCCTTAGTTTAAGTAGGGTCATATTCATTATCTTTTTTTCAGACTTCTGTATATTACTGTTGATCTTCTATAATTGTTATAAATGACAACAATAAAGGTAATTACAGAAACATACTTTCAACTATGCTCAATATTTACAAAGAATTTTAATAAATTCAATTTTAATTGATCATTTTTAATTCACACATGTATGAATATACATACATAGAATGGAATGGAATGGAATGGAATGGAATGGAATGGAATGGAATAGAATAGAATAGAATAGAATAGAATAGAATAGAATAGAATAGAATAGAATAGAATAGAATAGAATAGAATAGAATAGAATTCTTTATTGGCCAAGTGTGATTGGACACACAAAGAATTTGTCTTGGTGCATATGCTCTTGGAGTACATAAAAGAAAAGATACATTTGTCAAGAATCATAAGGTGCAACACTTAATGATAGTCATAGGGAAATAGTCAATATAAATCTTAAGGATACCAGCAATAAGGTTACAGTCATACAGTCATAAGTGGGAGGAGTTGGGTTATAGGAATGATGAGAAGATTAATAGTAATGCAGACTTAGTAACTAGTTTGACAGAGTTGAGGGAATTATTTGTTTAGCAGAGTGATGGTGTTCGGGAAAAAACTGTTCTTGTGTCTAGTTGTTCTGGTGTGCAGTGCTCTATAGTGTCGTTTTGAGGGTAGGAGTTGAAACAGTTTATGTCCAGGATGTGAGGGGTCTGTAAATATTTTCACAGCCCTCTTTTTGACTCGTGCAGTATACAGGTCCTCAATGGAAGGCAGGTTGGTAGTAATAGGTTCTTCTGCAGTTCTGCAGATATAAAGTATATCCACCCTTGAAAATACATTGTAACAAAATTATTTGTGCAATATGACACACACACACACACACACACACACACACACACACACACACACACTATACTTATTATGGGAAATTCAATAAAATTTATTTATTTATTTATTTTATGCAATTTATATGCCACCCTATCTCCAAGGACTCAGGGTGGCTCACAACGGTAAAATGCATAATTCCTGCCAATATAAAATTAAAATCCCAATTTAAAACAATTTAAAAATTCATTACCCCCCCCCACCCATCAGTCCAGGCTGCGGAACAACCAAGTCTTCAAATCGTGGCGGAACGAGGGAAGGTCAGGGGCCATCCGGAGCTCCAAAGAAGCTGGTTCCAGAGGATGGGCACGCCCACAGAGAAAGCTCCCCCTCTGGGGGTCGTCAGCTGACACTGTCTGGCCGATGGCACCCTGAGGAGGCCCTGTCTGTGGGAACGCACCGGGCGATTGCGGATTGTCGCTGGCTGCAGGGGGTCCGACAAATATCCCGGGCCTAGGCCATGAAGGGCTTTGTAGGTAATAACCAGCACCTTGAACCTCACCTGAAGGGCAACCGGTAACCAATGCAAGTAGCGCAGGAGGGGTGTAACATGAGAGTGTCGGGACGCTCCCATCACAACCTGCGCGGCCACATTCTGCACCAGCTGAAGCCTTCAAGTGGTTTTCAAGGCAGCCCTAGGTAGAGAGCATTGCAGTAGTCAAGACGGGAGGTGACCAGTGCATGAGTAACAGTGCGTAGGGCATCTTGGTCCAAGTAAAGGCGCAACTGGTATACAAGGCGAACCTGGGCAAATGCCCCCCCTGGTCACGGTCATTACATGATCTTCCAGAGACAACCGTGAATCCAGAAGGACACCCAAGTTGCGAGCCCTATCCACAAGGGGTAACACCTCACCCCCGATGGTCAACAATGGAAGATCTCAATCGGACCAAGATGCTGGTACCCACAGCCACTCAGTCTTGGCAGGGTTGAGTTGGGGCCTGTTCCTCCCCATCCAGATCCGTTCTGCTTCCAGGCAACAGGACATCACGTCGAGGGCATCACTGGGCTGGTTTGGGATGGATATAAAAAGCTGGGTATCATCAGTGTACTGATGATACCACACCCCAAAACCACGGAAAATACAAAACACAATGTGTGTACTTATAAAAGTGGGCAGGACCTGACTAAAAACAGCATTTGATGCAGTTGTATTTAAATCTAGTTTTAAAATGAAATGATTAGTTCCCAAGAATTTAATAATTTCCCATTCTTATCATCAGAAAAAATTTATCATTCAGAGGCAGCTTTTGAAGATGCTGGGAACTACACATAAGACTTAGAGGAATAATCTACGCCTATAATACCCTAGAATCTGTTCTTAGAAACATGCTGTTTTGGAGCATTTATAGCCCTAGATTATGCCTCCTATCTGTACAGCCTGCTCTTCAACTTCAGCTACTACTTAAGCTGTCTCACTTTTACAAACCATTACAAAAGTGCATGCAAAAAATTCAGATTATTTCTGTAGCCTGCACACTACATTGTTTTACGATGGTTAATGTTTTATTTATGAGGAAAATAAATTGTCAGAGTTAAGAAACCGAGCATTTTGTTCTAGGCAACACATTGCTTTTATCACACAAATAATTTATTGGTTCTGCTTCCAGATGAGTTCTCTGCTGACCTTTCCAGGTATACTGAATATTGCTGCATAATTCGTCTTGTTTGGAAAGTGTATTTAGCATGGCCATTAATACCTACTGTCATAACCTTTGTGTTCAGCAGAGAGTTTATTGCATTGAATGCCGGAGTTGCTATTTAGAGATGTGCCAAAATCAGAACCTTCCACTCAGCTCATAAATTTAGAAGGTAATACATTTGTATGCCCAGATTTAACTATTATAATTTAAACGACTGCACAGTTAAAGTAGCATCATTAAAAAAAATACTAAAGATGTAACATAGTGTGGCTATGCTATCTCTCTCTTTCTCTCGCTCTGTGTGTGAGTGTTTAGATCTTAGTTAGTTCCAAACATTGTCAGACTTTTGTGTGGACAAGGAACTATCTGCAAATAGAAGTGTTGATTGTGAATGATTGTTATTTCACATCTATATAAGATGCCCACATATGAATCTCAGTGTTTTCCTGTAAATGATTGGTGTTTAGCTCTCTGTACCACAAGAATAAAGAGCCATATTTGGGGTATTACCATAATAGTGGTACTACCAAAGCAGGGGCGGTTTCTACTTACCTTTAGTACTGGTTCTCAATGGGGCTGCGCGCGCGCAGAAGCTTCCTCATGACGTCGGGGTCGGTGGGTGGAGCCTCCCGCCAGTTTTACTACTGATTCTATAGAACCAGTCCGAACTGGGGGGAAACCCACCACTGTACCAAAATAGCCTCTTCAATATTTGTTGAAGATAATTTCCTGTTCTTTCACTTTTTTTCCATATTCGAGTTCTAAGGAATACAATCAGAAAACGCAGATCAGATGCAACTATTTAGATGAACATTTAGCTACAGAATATTAAAAGAAGATACCAAGTATGAAGCATTGTTTTATACTTGGTTACAATTCTTTATTTGCTTACAATAAGGGATAGAAATAAAGGTAAAAAAAGAGTTCATCTTGGGTGGGTATGTACTCAGAAATGATTGAGATAAATCTCCACCAAGCTCGTTGATGGCTTTTCTTGGTAAATAATGTACATGAATTAGATTTATATATTTCCTGAAGATTTTCACATGGCCCTGAGAAGAAATAATGGTTATTTATTTATTTATTTATATCATATTTGTATAGTTGCCCATCTCACCAAAAAAAAAACAAACAAACAAACAAACAAAAAAACAATCCTGGGTGGTGCATAACAACTAAATAAAAACCACAAATGATATATATAAAAATGAAAAAAGTCTATATTAAGAAATAAATAGTACTGCAACTTCCTAATAAAGCCAAATGATCTTAAGGATTTCTAATAATAAATTCTAATAATAAAATAAAGGAAATTTTATATCCAACCATGTATTGTATTTGTAAAATTTGGATCTATTTAAATTAGGGCTATTCAATTAATGGTCAATTCTAAAATATTCTTTATTTCAGAGAGCTAGCAGACTAGCAAAAAGACCACCTCCATTTGATTTTCAAATGAACTGAAATCCCAAATCAAAAATAATCCAATATTAGCAACTGAGATAATGCCACAGTTTCCTCCTTATGCTAATTTCTCCAATTTACTTGTGTCTTGGAGGAGCAGGAATTCATAACTGAGGTGCATAAATGCATGGGAAAAATTTATTTTGCTTTTGTTTTAGTTAGACCAGGAAAAACAGCTGTGTTAAATCATAAATGGAGAGCCTGAAGCTATGTTTACATCTAAAAGGAAGTTCCTTGGACCGGATGTCTCTATCCAAATCCTTCATTCTATCTTCATTATTACTGGATCTCAAATGGAATGGACAAAGTGAGTCAATATACAGTAATTTATGAAACCATTTACTGATCCCTATAATTCAACCGAAGTGATATTTGAGTTGTAAGAAATGCAATTCTACAAAATATAAGGTTATATTTTGTATATCATACATTTGACATATTTATCCTGGAAGCATTTGAAATATAACCAATATTCTTATTTCTAACATTAACAGGTCACACTTCTATAACCTTGTGGTCACAATCTAGAAAACCAAACAATGCTCAAGTTGTCTACCTCTCATCTAGAACAAACATCTTGAGAATCCTCATTTGCAGGGGTCTCATTATTTTATTTAAATACAATTTGATGAAACTCCCATAAGCACGATGGCTCCCTCTGTGCTGCTAAGTGGAACCTACCAATCATCAGTTAAAACAGTCCACGTTTAAGGAGATCTCCAAATCTCACAAGATTTATATATGCCAGTGTGATCTTGAGTTTTTCATCTGGTTATTTTTGAATTTCCTTTTATTTTGCCTCTGTTTTAAAATTATGAATTGCTTTCTATCAGGGACTCCTGGAAGACCATGTACAATAGCTGAGGAGATTCGCCACCAGATCATGTTGCAGATCTCAGGTAGTTTGTGAGTAGCAATAAAATACATCCGACACTTTTTCAAAACGAAACGGGCTGTGGCTTATAAAAACTTGGCGGACTTTATCCAGCAAAAAAAATGAGCCAGTGTCCATTGCCAAAACTCTCCGTACCTTCTTTGTCACTACTCCTCTGACCAGACTGAGGCATTCAGCACCACACATTCCCGATCAATTTGTTCTTGCACATAAAATAAGCTGATATTGTCTGTCAATAAGAAACATTCTGTTCTGTTTGTTGTCAGGCAAATACAGCTCTGCTTAATCAGGCTACTGCCAGTCATACAGCATTGTTCTGAGCCCTCTTGCTAATTTGGGAATACGGCTCACTCTTCTCAGCCTAATTTTGAAAACATTAGATTAATTTGAAATGAAAAGGGAATGTGTTCAGATAGAGCAGTTTATAACCTGAGGCTTCCAGCTAAGTTGTTGCCGTTGCGACCCAGTGCGACTGTTGAATCTACAAAGCAAACACACTAAGCTGGGGTGAGCAATGCAGTCATTCTTTAGTACCCATTGAAAAATGTTTGTGCATTTTGCCAAGAATTATTTTTACCATATTAAGCAAGTATCAAAGCTTGCGTGGCAATAAAGGACATTCTTTTCACCTCTGCATTATTGCTCAGCGGTCCCTTAATCACTCTGCTCCAATATTTGATATGTGGCAGTAAAATGTTTATATTACAAAAACGTACAGTAAATCTTCCAGTTCAGAAGCAAATTAATAGTCTGGTACTGTGAGAATCTGACTATATCTGAATATTGATGATCTCCCTTTTCCAGTCTCCCTGGAATTGGGACTGTGAGGTGTGATCATTGCTTCTCGCTGATAAGCAAAATATTTCCAGAGCGTGAAGGAGTCTGTGGTGTGTGAGAAGGATAACCCATAATCTGCATCAACACACTAACTTCTCCTTTGCCATTTGCATTGAAAATCAGGTAGAAGTTATGCTAAGCTCTCTATTATAGCCTCATGTATGTGAAAGGTCTCCTCCTTCATTTGAATAAGGCCTCTTCTGCAGGCAAGGGGGAAAAAAGCCACACATTGAAAAGCAAGCGTTCTTTTAATTAGGATGGCATTTAAAAGCCAAATCCTTGAATGTTCATATTTTTGTGTGATGCTAAGTTGCAAAACATTTTCCAAGTGCCTTTTAGCTTCTTTCCTCTTCTACTTCTTTCTTTCATTAAGCTTTTTTTATTTTTTATTTTTTTTCTGCCTCCCTAGTTGAAAGGGAGCGACATGCATTACAACATGGAGTAGATTAATATGATGAGCTAGATTAAAAAAAAAATTAAATCCAAATGTTTGATGAAATGTAGGAAAAATGTTTAAGTAGAGGATTAGGCTTACAATATAAGAAGCAGTCAAGGAGATCAAAAGAACCCTGTTCAGAAAGTGCCATTAAAAAAAGAAAGAAAGAAAGAGAAATTCTATTGAGCAAATTTGTACAGTGAATAATTAAAGATTTTGTTTTTACTTTTTTAGAAAAATTACACTGAATATGATATTGTAATAAAATAAATAGTACAGATAATGCATGAATTCAACTGACAGCAAAATGACTTTTTCTATATAGATTTCACCTGTGTTTAAAGAGAGATGCACGCATACATATTTATATACATGAAACGAAAAGATGACATATAATTTAATTTTAAAGAAGAAGAAAAAGTTGACCTTAACAGGCACTTTTAAAACGAAAGATGTTAACCTATTTCCATTTACATAAAAATCCACCTTTGATTTCTTTTTCTTAAAAAAAAAAAAAATCAGATGGAACAATTTAACTACATTTTAAGTGAATGTTTTGGGGAAAGTTTAATCTTGCAGTTCTAAATGCATCAAAAATGGATCTGTGATTTCTGTGTAAAGGAAGGTGAGCCACATGATGGTAGCTGAATTGGAGGAATGTGAATGAATTCCATCGGCATATATTTATTACTGATTTCTGTTGTTGGAATGTGCAATTCTCCCAAATTCCTGGGGTTTATATCTGGTTTTAGTAAGGGAAAAAGCTTCTTCTTCAATAGTAAAGCAAGGCAAGGCAATAACTGATGGATTGAATTATCTAGAAAGTTTTTCACTGATGATATACAGGTCCCTGCACCAAGGCTACATGGTTGGAACACATTGTAAATAAAAAGTATACATGATAACTTTATGGACACTTGAATAATTCAAATTAGATGAGATTTTATGATTAATTTATGAAAAACATTTTACGTTAGGAAAGAACAATGTCTTTACAGTTGAATTAATTTGTAGATGTTGAGCAATTTACCATAAGCCAATTGGGCAAAAAGCAAGACTACTGATAACAACAAACTATGGACAATTTGTTTCTATTAAGAATGTAATGTTTTTTTTACAAGTGATTACATTTATAACTTATTTTCGTCAGTGAAAATGATGCTATGGGATACCTAATAATAAAATATAGACACACCAATAAACCTTTATTTGTTATATAATTTAATCTTTTAAGTCCCATTTACAGGTGGTCCTTGACTTACAACTGTTTGTTTACTGACCATTCAAAGTGACAACAGCACTTAAAAAGTGACTTATGATCATTTTTCACACTTATGACCATTGCAGCAACCCCATGGTCATATAATTTACAATCAGATGCTTGACAACTGGTTTATATTTATGACAGTTGCAATGATCATGTTTTGCGATCTTCTAACAAGCAAAGTCAGTGGGGAAGCCAGATTCATTTAACAACTGTGTTTCTAATTTAACAACTGCAGTGATTCACTTAACAAATGTGGCAAGAAAAGTCATAAAATGGGGCAAAACTCACTTAACAAATTTCTCATTTAGCAAAACAAATTGTGGGCTCAATTGTGGTTGTAAGTCAAGGACTATCTGTGTAATATGGGACATTGTGTAGTCCTACTCTAACATTTCTTTTCAGAAGTAATCCTATTGAGTTCAATGGGAATTGCTCTTGGTAAAGAATGAAGGCAAATGACTGAGGCTTGCAGCTCTAGTAAAATGTATAGGTAAAAACTGAAAACAGTAGAGCAATGAGAAAGAGAATCCACACTAATCTTATTCAATATAACTTTGGCTATAAGTCAAAAGTCCACTAGTTGCTTTGGTGGCAAGGAATTCCAGATCCACAAAATACTATTAAGATCTTATTTTTTGTATTATTTCTCATAGTGATGAGGTACAGAAACTCTCAACTTTTCCTAACGATCATATATGTGAGCACACAGTTTTTAAAAAACCGCCTGGTCCCAAATAATATCTGATGGCTGAGATCCAGTGGTGGGTTGCTCCCAGTTTGATCCAGTTCTTGCGAACCGGTAGTAAAAGCAGCAGGAGGCTCCGCCCACCCACCCAGATATCATCATGAATGATCTGTGCAT